GATGGTAAGCAATCGGCGCTGCTCGTAGACTCATCAATAAATCTCAAAAGAGTTACTATAAGTGTGTTGTCGACCTTTTGTATGTCCTAAGGAATTTAAATTTAAGGTGATTTGGGGATTGAGGATCAGGTAAGGATAAGGAGGAATATAAATAAACAAATAAGTTTACTTCATATTTGGCATACATTGCAAGTCGAGGAGAAAAATACCTGTAATTAAAGGCTCCATTATATCCTACTATTATACATAATACAATATCTAAGTCTACTCTTGAGCAAAATACAATATGAAAACTAACAAAAAATCAAGAATAATAAGATTAATTGGACATGTGGTGTTTGTGTTTGAAATCACAAAATGCAAAAGTGCATCAATATAATTAATTATTGTTTAAGTGAAAATTACACGTCATAACGTTTATTGTCGCAGAAGTACGTTTGGACTATCTTGAAATTCAACCCCGAAAAGGGAGTAGTGACGTATCTACAGAGGTATAGAGTACAATTTTGTCCAGCAATTCGGCCGTAATCCATTACAATCAGACATCAGGGTTGTTCGCAACAGAACATCAGTCTTACTTGTATACCGAAGCGTCGAATCGGTCAGAAAGAGACCTACTACTCGATTTACCCCAAAAGTATATTCCAGCGTATCAAGCTATCCAAAATAGTTAATAATATTTATTCAATTGTCGACTTTATGATTTGTAGACAAAGTTGAAATTCGATTAAAAAGTTTGATTCGAAAGTCTAGCTTGAAGTGCAGGCGTAAGTTCAAACTGCCATTGGTCAATACGCTCTGCCGGCGTAGACTGCGGAACGGATACAAATTAGAATGGATTGATTGCCAATGCAGTTTGAAGTGTGAAATCGGTCTGTTCTTTTTTTATATACTTTTTTTATGGTGTGTTTTTCTTGTTTATTTGTAAGTTAGTAGACTCCATAAATAAGTGTATCGAAGTTCTTATCATTAACTATCTAACGCGGCTTCGCTCGCGTAGTTTGTTGATCAAATGCAGCCTATGTATTTACCTTGGTGGTAGCAGGTATTAAACTATCTACCAGTTTCAAGCCTGTTGAAGTAATCTATGTGTTATTCCATGGTATCACCTATCTTCGTGCCAACTTTCAACCAATTCAGTTCAGGCGTTCTTGCTGGAAAGAATAACAAACAAACATCTATACTTAAGCGACAACTTTCAAGTTAGTATTAGTAGGATTAATTAACATTTATTTTTATTCTTATTAACGTTAGTATAATATTTCATTTTTATTTGTCTTACATAATTAAATCAGAAAAAAAAATTAAAAAATAACTTGACACAGAGACATGTCACAGCTGTGTCTTAAAAAAGCTACACAAAAAATCGGATGCAATATTTATCTATCATAATATTATATATTTTATACAACACAAAAATAAACTTGTTATTAGAGTACATGTTATTCCAACAACAAAAATGTATATAAACGAAAACAACTATTATTTTCACAAAATAGTTTAACATTTAACAAGTAAACTGCTTACAATATTGTTTAATTAATTTACAAAGGCGCGGTGCACTGCATCGTTTCAACCATACAACAAGAGGTTACAAGCGGCGCGTACTCCTTCAATAACTAACTATAAATCAATTTTCACGTTAATCGCTTAGTTTAAACTTGGTTCCCGTTAGAACGATACCGTCTTGACTTGAGTTCCGACAGCCGTTGAGCTTCCGGACGCGTATTTACAAAGTATCGCCCAAGAAAATATTATGTTGAGAAAGTGTATGTTTGTTACTAATTGGTAAGGTGTAATACTTAATCATACTATTATGTAATAGTAACTATTATAAGACAGAAAATAACAGAAAATAATAACTACATAGGGCTGATTTTTCGACAGTCAGATAAAAGTTATCTGAGGAATTACATTGTTGCTGTCACTGTCTTATCAAACATTCTGATGCAATAGCATCATAATTATAGCCAGGTAACATTTATCTGACTATTGAAAAATCAGCCCTAAATCAATTTAATCGACTGAGAAAAGCTCTACCAATTTCAAGTCACAACGGGGCTCTTATTGAGTTGGTTGCGCGACGTCACCGCGACGCGCACACTGCTCATAAATAAAAAACCCGTTGGGACTTGAAACTGGTCGCGCTAGATAGCTTTTCTCAGCTGATTAACGTGAGTTAATACTTTTTTTTTTTTTTTTGAGATTTGTATGTCTTTAATTTCATCATCATAAAAAAGAAGAAAATAACTGTACACTGAGTTCAACTTCAAACTGTTAAAATGTTATTGTAAGTCTTAAACTAAATCACCCGTTCATATTAAAAAAAAAAAAACAATTTTATCCAAATTTTATATGACAACTTATTGTAAAATAAATTCTTTCAACACTACCAAAATAAAGATATTAAAATCTACGCGTATAAAAACATGAATTTAATATTCTTATCTGTGTTTTAATAAAGCCTATGTCTTTGAAATTATTTCTCTGAAAACGGCTTTCTGTCAGATTCTTCGAACGACAATATTCTAGGCTTTTTCATTTCATTGTTATAAAACTTAGGTTTTATCGTAGCTATATGAAACTTAGTTTATTTTGTTGGTCTTGGTCGATTCTAGTAAAAAGTAGAAAAAGTAGAAATGTAAATTTTTGAGAAATCCACATTTTCATGAAACCTCGTTAATAAACAAGTTTTACTGTCGGCACGTGTTAAGTATAAAAAAATATTAATTTAAATACATTCGATTTTATCTGTGTATCCTTAGTCTATGAAATAATTACGGTAAACTTGGGGTTACTAAATACCAATACTAGAACAATTCTACACGATCTCAACATGACCTTAAAATCAATTTTCGAATTACGCCTCCCAGTGAAATAGCAACGAAGCTTATCGCAATAGCGCAACAAACTACTATTCCTTGTTTTAATGAAGTGAATTTACTGGGAATTTACTCGTTTCCTAACAACCATTGTTTCTCTTCTATACTGATAATAACAAAGAGACAGTTTGTCTGTTTGCACCTGAAAGGCACCGAAAACTCAGAACCAATTTGGAAAAATCTTTCACCATTCGAACGTTTTCATCTTTAAAAAGAAACACAGGCAATTTGAAGTCTAAATTTATTGTTTATTAAAAACAAGATTGGAAAATACTTGGGAGAAAAAGAAATATTTAAAATATTGTGCAGGCAAAACCGCTGGCGGAAAGCTAGTTACAAATAAAAGGCAAGCCGGCCGGCAATGTTTTTTTTTTGCTGCATTAACTGCAGTTGCGGGATCGACAAATTGTTTTGCAGATAAAACTTTGCATTGTGAGTTCATTTCAATTTTGTATGGGAATAAAAGGAATGGCTCTTTTGTTTGGTTAGATAATCATACAAATTATTTTTTTATTTTAATTTTTTACAAATTATCTGTTCTATAATTATTGTTAGTACCACTGCTCAAGATCTTAGGTTCCCAGGTTAGAAAAATGATTACTTATTATATTACTAGCATAGAGGTGGCTCTAAGGATAAGGTGCTTCTTTTCTCGCATAAGGTTTCGAAACCCAGCTGGAAACTATGTAACATTTCCGAGTTATAATTATGTATCTTATAAAATTTTATTTTTTAGATACATTTATAGGTTGAAGTCAAAAGACATGAGTATACTGAACTTTTAATCTCTAATTGTATGTTTGAATCCAATCTGCTTTAAGCCACCGTTGTGATTAGTGCTTATTTTTAACTACTTAAAGAAGAGGCCTTCTTGCAGCAGTAGGCTCTGATACGCTGATTATATGATATGATATAACGATCCATAAAAAACTTCTACGATCTAAAAAAAATGATTGAGCTTCTAGTCTTTGCTTATGTCACCATCTCATTCCTTATTTAAAATTCTGCTGATTGTTTAAGTTTAACGACCTCAAACATTAAAATTATGATTGAATTAAATTAAGTAGACAAAAAATAATATAGGCTCGATTAGATCAATACCAAGTACGGGAGGCTCGACCGGAGTGATACCACGGCCTCACAGAAAATCGGCGTGAGGCAACACTTGCGTCATGTTTCGCAGTGTGAATGAGGTTACCGGTGACCGAATTCTTCACCCCTAACCCTTATCCCGAATCTTCAAATTCCCTATGCTTTAATCCCTAATAACCTACAAGAGGCCGACAATGAATTTGTACTGACTCCTTTACTACTACGAGTGTCCAAGGACGACACTGATTGCCACCAGGTAATCGGTCTGCTCCATTGCCGACCAAAAAGTACCAAAAATACAACACTTCTCCCTGTATCCGCTAATCTCAAAAGTTCTGCACCGATTATCCCATCTTTAAAAAGCCATCCATCGAGTGGTTCTTTTGCTCGTTTACCGCCCTGTGCCATTAAAAAGTATTTACTTCATAGAACTAGAACAGTCATTGTCTGTGAAATGAAATCATACTTCCTGACTTGGTAGGTCAATATGAAGTTGTACTGAAGATGCAGTGTATGTAAGATGTAATCAGAGCTCAGTTTGAGTACTGATATCAGAACCTCTCCGCCTCTCTCGCTGCACCGGTTAATTGTAGGGGTTTGGTGCAGACGAAGAAAGGTGGGCGGGTTTAAGTAAAAAAGGAGATTATACCCCGGCTTGGAGAAAGAACGTGATGGAGTTAAGTTAGTAAGATTCTGAAACTCCCTCTCGGACTACCCAGGAAGGACTAAGAAGAAGTCATGTAGTGATGTTACTACATAAAAAAAAGCTATTGATCTCATTTTTATATTAAAACCAGGTTTAGGCCCACCGAGCAGGGTAAGTATGTAAAAAAGGGTGCATAAATAACAAACAAAGAAACAAAGAAAGTTACTTTCGTATTTACACAAATGGTTGGAGTTGATTCGTAAGTTGATCAATGAAATATGAAATTCTATCTAGTTTTGAGTATTTTTTAATTAATATATTATGAATTCGATTCTTATAACCCGTGAGACAGTCTAAATTAGTTGAAAATAACGACTTACACCCAACACAACCTTGTGGTTGTTTCACGCTGGATTTCTGTGAGGCCATGGTATCATTCCGGTCGAGTCGAAGCATGGCTCTCCCACTTAAGTGATGATGGCAGCTAAACATAATCTACGTTTTGATAGTGAATCTAAAAACAATTGTCCTTCTATTACAAATCTACAGATGTTCAATAATCCAGTAGTTTATTAAAACTAAACAATAAACCATAAACATTCAGGGTTGATGATGCAAACGCAATTTTGTACCGTGGCCCAGTCTGGAGCAGGAGAAGGAATGGGGTGGAGCTTAGTCAGTAAGAGTCTGACACTCCCTCTGGCCCCAAGAAATCATTAATTTGATGATTTTCCACCCTTAAAAACAAAAAAACACTAAGCGTATCATATAGTGTGTGTCACACGGCTCTCCATAAGTAGCATAGGATGTTATAATATTAAAGCATTAAAGGTAATCGGATAAGTGAACGTCCCTTTTTTTCGGCATTTCAATCATTACCAAAAGTTATTGAGAAGGCCTATAACTGCAAGGTCAAATTCCACACAGAATCTAAGTCGCTGACGTCTATACTTTGTACCAAATTCATAACCGAAGATATAGAGCGACCGGGACACCTTCAATTGTCTTGCGGGCTCCGGGATCATAGTTTGTAGCTGATACACACCTCTGTTTGTGGGATTTATTAGAACTCACTGTATGCGTGTGTGTGTGTGATACATAGTGAATACATTGTCTAGCAACCAGCTTAGTTGTAGTAACTAAGGTGATTTGATGACTATGTAGATTTTATGTTGCAATCATATCCTTTGTGTTAAAGCTTTAATACATTGTGCCTTATAATTTCAACATTATTGAGGATAAAGGTAGAGTTTAATAACATTATTTTTAAAGCACCTAGCTTCTAAATAGACTAATTATTATTTTATTTTTAAAAGTAGTTCTATCTGTAGTTTACTTGGAATGTTTTTTCACCTCGACTTTAAAATTAACTCTCAACAGTGATTTTTTTTTTAAGTAAAGCCATCAAGTAACTGCACCTGCTTTAGGTAGGCCAACAGAGACTGACTAAAAAGTACCCTGTTCCTTCTTTAATTCAGAAGGGCGGTTGTATTCGTTAAACAATGCGGTTGTAACCTTTGCAGTTAAACACTGCAGTGGTTTAGTCGGGCTTAAGCCTATAGCAATAAGTTTTAAACTCTCATCAATCCAATATCGACATCGCTTCTTCGCACTTCAAAGATTCTAAAACTAAGAAAATATATTAGTCATCAACATCACCAAGAGCTAATAACATGCCAATTGTTGAGCGAATTCACTTGGAGAAGATGTGAACTTTAACCATCACGCTTGCTCAAATGTGATTGGTGATGTCAAACTAATATAATTTTAAACGATACGGTCATGTTCGTTACCGATGTTTTCTTTCATCGTATCTATACCAGTGATCATCGTCATCATCATCATTAGGCGAAAGACGTCCACTGCTGGACGAAGGCCTCCTCCTTAGGTCTTCACGCCAAACGACAAGACGCCACTCGCTGTATTGGCTCCCTGCGACTCTGACGAGATGGTCGGTCCACTTAGCTGGGGGTCTGCCGACGCTGTTTCTTCGGTCTGTGGTCGCCACTGTAGCACTTTTATGATCTATCGGCCGTAAGTACTACGAGCGATATGGCCAGCCCATTGCCATTTTAGCTTGCAGCTTAATAATGCAAGTACATAATTACAACTTGGATTTAAATACCCGCCGCACCCCAAATATTATTATAACAACTTAACACTAACATGGCTATCAAAATATATAATATCACCTTAAATCACGAATACTTCCAAAGAAATAAATGTCCCATCATTCTTTTAAAATACGTCCAATTTTCTCGATACTGCGTACAAGCACGCATGACCACTGCTTCGAACAGACAATTCTGAACGTTATAGTTTATACATTAAGGTGTAATTTCAAGTGTATTCAAAAGGAAATTAGATAAAAAATTGAAGTGTGCTAAGCGCAAATCGCACCCAGCGGGAATTTGAGGAGAGTTATCAATCTTAGTTGGATAATACTTGGACCGTGTGAAAACTGGATAAGGAATGAGTTGACAGATTTTTCAAGAAATTACAAGATTACAATATTTTATGTAACCTAATTTTATGACCTTTTATTAATGTTTACGTGATTATAAACAAATATTATTTTTTACTTTGTTCGTTTTTGTCTTAACAACTTGTTCTCTGCATTGTTTTCACATAATGTATTGGATAACTGGTTAAACGCATATTGAGAAAAGAAAACTGACGATGGAGATTCTTGCTGTCGAATTTACACTTCGGAACGACGACCACATAGCTTCATTGACGAAATGATTGACGAACTTTGTTGACAAACAAACTGACAGACTACTATTCTATACGTATTTATTTTTAGTACCCATTTATAGTTTAGGTGGAATAAATGATCTTGACTGTTGACTTTATAAAGTCAAAATCCTCAAAATGGCCACCAAATTTGCGTTTGGGTGTGTCACCAGTTATCTTATTCTCTTTGGCACATGCTGCATAGTCATCAATCTGCTGCTTTACCTTAAAAGGTTAAAAAGATTTCTTTATATAATGTACCCCAAGTCTACTTACATAGAATACAGTCACTAACTTCTACAATTCTACACTCATAAAACCCAAGACACTTTCAAACTCAGCTCCAACACGAACACAATAAACACATTAACAACGAAGAACAATAAATTGCAACTAATCTAAAATGAGGCGTCAATTTATCTCTCAAGCCCTATCCAGATCTTGTAATCCGAGAGGGGACCCGCTTCACCGTTTATTTATGTTTGGTCAACGGTTTTTGGAAAATGAAATAGATAAGGGGTCCCTCTTTAGTCGTTATCTGTTGCGTTCGAACCCAAGTTTTGGACCCTTTAGAGAAATGCGTTTTAACTTCCAGTCAAATTATTCACGTTTTCCAAGTGTATGCGTAGTTTTGAATGGGGTTTTTGGTGTACTGGTTTTGGGTTTTGTGCGTTAAGAAGATTACCTAAACCTTACCGTATTTCAATTTCAGCTGAAGATTTTTATGTATTTGTTGTATGTTGGTCGTAGAAATCGAAATATACACGTAACGGACATTATAATCCTACCTACCGACTGCAAAATTATTTACCCTTCCAACAATACATATTTCATGTGCATGTTTATTTTTTCAGAAAAGGTTCGACCAATCATTACCAAGTCACCAATCAAAAGGAAAAAGAACGAATGGGTATAAATATTCAAGACGAGGCAAAGTTTTGCATGGTTCTTGTTACAAACATTAATAATAATTGTAAATGGTGAATTCATGGGAATAATAAAAATGTTAAAAACACATTTTTTTTATGGAATAGGTTGCCTCCTACAAGTCGTCGTGTCACCTAATGGTAAATGATAAGGGATTGTATGCTCTTTTTGTAAAGTACATTTTAACCTACGCTATTTCTGTCAATACTCATTACTGAAGATAAAACTTCTAAACAAAACCATGATTACGGAACCGCGGAAACAAAAGAACACATCTCTACCCACATAGAAATCGATCACACGTTATCTGGATCGCAAATCTCGGATCCAATAAGACCTCTTTTTTTCCAGAACTCGGCATTTATCTTCCGAAATGGGATCAATTCAGAACTCCGTTGAGTACTTTATGTGTATAGATGGCTATTAGACACCATTGTTGAGTTATTTTATGGCAAATTTTGGATATATTTCCGAGATTTATTTGATTCGTAAATGGATTTTCCGTAAGCTCTTTATTCATATAAGGGGAGGCATTTAAGTGGGTATTTATGTCGATTGGCAAATTATTTATTTTTGGGTCGTGTTGTGCGTAGATGTTGTAGTTTTACTTAAACCTTAAGATTGATTCAAAACCTTCTTCCAGTTTTAAGTAAAATATTCACAGACGTTCAGGTAGAAAATTCAACCCATGGAGCGAAGCATTCTACGGGAGGGGTCCCGAGAAAGACGAAGCGGCTATCAAACTCTTACTGACATCTGACATTGCAAACTATTCCGCTTTCGTGCGAAGGTAAGAGCGAGGGTGCCAGGAACATTATTTTGACACCTCTCGACCAACCACATTTCTGCGTCTCTGTTTTATTTAACAAAACCTTCGTGAAAACTATAGTGGAAGTCAAATAACACAATATTTATCCTCATTAAAATCAAAACCGTTAAGGCACTTTACTGCCTAAAATTCAAACCGTACCCAATTATCACCCTAAAATTCTTGCTATCTCACCCAACCGCCTTAATACCAACATAACAATAAAACACAGAAACCGGAAGCAACATACGTCAAGCCGCGTGCCGGAAGTGACGGGAAATATTATAAATTCAAGCGAACCCGGTTCCTAGCGGTTAAATCACATAGAAACATTGTGGGGCGTGTTTTAAATAAAATGCATTGCATCATGCTGATACAGCACGAGTTCTGAACGTGCTTTATGTTGTGGGCTTCCAAGATTTTCACATTTTTAAAGCCTAATCTAGTGAAAAATATTTCCACCATACACGCTTGTTTTTCAAACTATGCTCCTTTTTATATTGAAGGACAATAAAGGATATTTTTTGATAATTCACCCTTCAAGGAAGTTAAAAGGAGGGCTATCTCTTCTTTTCACTCTTGTATATGAAAGTAAGTAAGTATTTAAAAAGGAGGGATACACTACATCAATTTCGAAACAAAACCGACGAAAACTGGATTTAGGATTAGGATTTATTTAAAAAACAATTAAAAAGGTTATTTTAGAAATATTCAAATTTTATGTATCTATGTAAGTATTTAAAATAAATTCATGAATATTTTTGTTAAAATCACTTATAAAAAAGAGGTTTTAATTTTGTAAAAACCCTCCAAATGTTTAAATTAAATCGATGAAAATTTTTATTTGAATAGATACAACGTGTTTTATTTAAGGCTTAAAGTAGGCGTGGGTAAGTTTATACAAAAGTAAAACCTTGTTTTGTAATAAGGCCGATTACAGTTTTCGAGTCAAAATAATTAAAGATGTGATTTGTCAATACTGCAT